ATATTTAGCTAGCTACTTAAATATTTAGCTAGCTACCTAAGCATTTAATTTAAATATTTAGCCAACTACCTAAATATTTAACTAGCTAGCTAAATATTTAGGTAGCTAGCTAAATATTTAAGTTGCAACTTAGCTACCCAGAAAGTGAACCGTGGTTCTCTGGGAGCGGTAAAGGATGTCTTCAAAATTTTAAGTAAAAAATGTGGCTACATTATTCATAAATAATATCATTGTAAAACAACAACAACAACAACAACAACAACAACAACAACAACAACAACAACAACCAGGAGAAAGCGTACAGCAACTTGTAAATTCTGCAGTGCTTCAGTTTCAGAGACAGTGGGTACAAATTTAAACTTTTATCGTCACTTAAAAATCTGCCTCTGTAGCTAAATTCTGTCCTCTGCCCTCACACAAAGGTTTTGTCATTATTAGCTCTACATATTAAGTAAGCTAAAGTGGGGAAAAAAGTATTTAGTCAACACCAATTGTTCGAGTTCTCCCACTTAAAAAGATGAGAGAGGCCTGTAATTGACATCATAGTTAGACCTCAACTACAGAGACAAAATACCTTTTCCCCCACTGTACATGTGTACACAATACTCCATCTTTTAGGAAACTTTTTTTCTTGGTCTTGTCTCGGTCTCGCCCTCCCTTGGTCTTGGTCTCGACTTGGTTCAAACCCTAAAAGTCTTGGTCTTGTCTCAGTCTCGAGACACTGTGGTCTTGGTCTTGACCTGGTCTCGGGTTAGGTGGTCTTGACTACAACACTACTCTTTATAAGGTAAATGTCCAAAGGGGTTTACATGTACGACTGCACCCTGCAACCAAACATGCAGCACACACTGATCGTCTTCAGCTCAGGTTCAAACACTTTGGGTTAAAGAAGCTGCGTGAAGACGTTGGCAGAAGAAGCTTCCAGTGGAAGCTGTCCTGCAGCAAACAGAGAGTAAAATCCATTCTTCTGCAGGTGAGACTCCTCCATCCACCACAGAGCCCTCAGTCAGCCGCTGCTGAACGTCGGACACAAACGGGGGCTTTGTGGCGGCTGAGTGCGCTCTCAGTTCTTGGGGAGTCAGGAGGTCAGGCGCGGTGGAAGGTGGGGTGAGAAGGTGAGAAGGCTCGGGGCTCGGCGGGGAGGCTGGTGACAAGGCTTCAGTTGTTTCACTGAAGCGAGGAGGAACAACCCTGACATTATGACACTGTGGACTCACAGAAACACCCGCGCTGTGCCACGCTGACCTCTCCCCCCTCTATCACTGCCACGGCTGGGAGAAAATATCACTACTGATGTGTTTACAGCTCAGACACTGCTGATGCTGTTGGCTTACGGCTGGTTATTTGTAGAAGCAGAAGTCAGTGTTTGTCTCGGTGTCAGTCAGCTTCAGCCTGTCTCACACCTTTCTGTGATGACATTTAAAGATGCTGAGAAGAAACTGATGCTTCATAAACTGATCAGATCCAAGTAATCTGTCAGGGAGAAGCAGCTTGAAGGGAGCACAGTCCAAGCTGCAGGAAAGGTCAAAATGTCACTTTGGGTTGTAGCAAGAGGTAAACAGTGGGATAAGGAGTAAGCCCCCGATTTGAAGGGGCCTAGAGCATAAATCCTTAAAACAAGATTGTCTCTGTGTGACCACTTGAAGCAGAAAGAAAGGCTCAGACTTTAATCACAGGAAGGAGAAATCCTGCTGAACGTTTTAAACTCAAAGCTTTTAGACATTCATTCATAAAAACATGCAGCTCCAGCCTGAAACATCCAGGAGCCAGGTTAGACGAGTTAGAGAGCTTTCAGTTCAGCTCTGAAAAGCTCTTGTGTTTGGGTGTGCACTCTCTGACCTTTGACCTCTGGGGGGGTTTGAGAGAAAACCATGAGCCTCACTGGGTGAAAGAAAATACCTTCCTTCTAATGGAAAAACTAAAAAAGTCTACTTGGTGACATCATCAGAGTCTAACATTTTGTTTTAGAATCTCATAAAAACTGGAGTTCAGTGGATGAATGATGCTTCTGTAGATCCAACAAAACAACTCTGTATGATGTGCCTCACTATTCCTGATGATGTGCCTCACTACTCCTGACGATGTGCCTCACTACTCCTGATGATGCGCCTCACTACTCCTGATGATGCGCCTCACTACTACTGATGATGTGCCTCACTATTCCTGATGATGTGCCTCACTATTACTGATGATGTGCCTCACTACTCCTGACAATGTGCCTCACTACTCCTGACGATGTGCCTCACTACTCCTGATGATGCGCCTCACTACTCCTGATGATGCGCCTCACTACTCCTGATGATGTGCCTCACTATTACTGATGATGTGCCTCACTACTCCTGATGATGTGCCTCACTATTCCTGACGATGTGCCTCACTATTCCTGACGATGTGCCTCACTATTCCTGATGATGTGCCTCACTACTCCTGATGATGTGCCTCACTATTCCTGATGATGTGCCTCACTATTACTGATGATGTGCCTCACTATTACTGATGATGTGCCTCACTATTACTGATGATGTGCCTCACTAT